CTTTCATTTCCAGAGGACATGTGTGCTCACCAAACACAGAAGAAAGAGGGAGAAAGCACCCCCTGGTGAAGCATGGTCATGCTGCAACCCCACACACTCTGTCCACTTCACCAGGATTTGGGGCATGCTTACACATGCCTGGCATGTTTTCCAGGCTGCTGGGGCTGGGATTTGAACCAAGTTTGTTATGTAGGATCTGCCTCCCTACATATAGTGTTTAACCACTGTGCTACAGAGTGAGCCCCAGCACCAGGTTTTTTTGTTTGTTTTTGTTTTTGGAGAGGTTTTTTGCTATAGGGCGCATGCGCTCGCCAGACAGACAGAGAGAGACATAGAGACAGAAAGCAAGAAATCACCCCCCAGGGGGGATGGTCACACCGCAATCCCTTCTCCTCCATTCTCCTCTCGGGATCTTGGGCACGCATGCACACACGCCCGGCATGAGTTTTAAGCCACCGGGTCCGGGACGCGAACCACGGTCGACTACATGGGAGTCCGGCGACATAGCCATTACACTAACTGCTGGGTTCCCTCTCAACACGTTTCTTAAACAGTATTTAGTAGGGGTGAGTTCTTGCACATAGGTTATCTGTAGGAGAGAAAAGGTAGCTAAATATGAAATTTGAAAATTTTGTGATACTTCCTAAGTGTTTACATTTAACCCAGATCTTAGAAATGTGAGCTCCAGGGTCAGCAGATGGTGTGGTGGGTAAGGCGCTGAACTTATGGGTGACTACGGTTCACATCCCGGACCTGGCAGCTTGAAAATCATGCTGGGTCCGTGTGCGTGCGTGCCCAAAATCCCAAGAGGAGAATGGAGGAAAAGAAATTGCGGCGTGGCCATCCCCCCGAAGTGATTTCTCACTTTTCCTCTCTCTTTCTCTCTCCAGCAAGTACATGTACCCTATGGCAAAAACCTAAAGCAAAAAAAAAAAAAGGGAAAAAGAGGAGAAATGTAAGCTCCTACAAGAAAGGAGTTCTGTCTGTTTGGAGTGTGCCAAGCCCTGTCTGAACAGTCCAGAACAATTTGCCAAAATCGATGATGGATCAGGGCTGTGCAAGCCTGTGCTCCAGGACCGATGCGTCCGTCTCGGATTTCTAGGTGGCAGCGCCTGTGTGGGACATTTTATCTGCCAGACGTAATGAGTCAGGGCGTTAAAGTTATGAAACACCGCGCTGCTGTTAGGACATTGCACCCCAGTTTTGTTTGTTTTTGTTAGCACTTCCCAGGATCATTTGATAAGGAAGTCACTTAAGGGGAATGCCTGTGTGTATTATTTTAATTAACTTCTGATTTCATTTCCTTGTCTGTTATTATTTGTGTCATTCTATTTACGCCATCCTTGTGTATTTTTAGTGTGTGTGTGTGGTGATTCAGACAGGTTCTCCCCAGGTTGCCCCCACTGACCGCAAGCTCACAGTCCTCCTGTTTCACCCCTCCTAGTCTCTAGGACTACAGGCATGTGTCATTGTGCACCGCTTTTTTTTTTTTTTTTTTAAGAATTATTTTTGCGGCCAGCAGGTGGTGTGGTGGTTAAGGGCACCTGACTCCCACATGGCTGACCACGGTTCAAATCCCAGATCTGTCGGCCTGATTTCTCATTTTCCCTCTCTCTCTCTCTCTTGCCGTGTCCCTCTCTGGTCAAATTAAAATAAGTAGATAAGTAAATAAAGTTAAATAAAATTATTTTTTTAGGAATTATTTCATTTCATATTTATTTCTTTATTTTTGGAGAGATTTTTGCTATAGGCCACGTGTACTTGCCAGAGAGACAGAGAGAGACATAGGAAGAGAAAGCGAAAAGTCCCAGTGGGAATGGCCACGCTGCAATCCCTTCTCTATTCTGCTCTCAGGAGTTTGGGCATGTATCCACATATGGGTGTGAGTTTGAAGCCACTGGGTCTGGGACTCCTACTGCGGTGGACCATGTCGAAGTTCAGCGACGTAACCCCACCCCCACCCCCCAATTTGATCAGAGAGAGGGAAAGAAAGGGAAAGCAAGACAGCATGCTGCCAGGTCTGGGACTTGAACTGTGGTTGTCTATGTGAGAGTTCAATGCCTTGACTACCATGCCACCTGCCTCCCCTAATCCCATGCCCAGCTTTTAGGGTGGGCCAGGAATCAAACCTAGACCTGCTGTATGGCCTTAGCCTGTGGAGTAGCCGTGTCTAGGGCACTGTACTGTGGCTGGGCCTGTGTTCTCCCTGTTACTGTGAATTTCTCCCAGTTCCTCTGTTGTAAAGGCGTGGTTCTAGTGATTGTAATATCCAGAAAAGCAAAACGGCCAAGTTCTGTTCTCTGCCACGATGTCCACTTGGTACAGATTTTGGCCATACTTGCACACATACCTGGTATGTTTTTCAAGCTGCCAGGGTCAGGATTCGAACCACAGTTGGTTGTGTGAGATCTGGCTCCCTTAACTAGTCTGCAGGGTTGGCATACTGAGATAAAAGACTTATTCTTCTCAGTATTAGGAAGATAAATTATTACTGTCTATGAAATACTCTGAAATTTCTAGGTAATGCTTTCAGACCTGGCGTGTGTGTGTGTGTGCATGCGTGCACACATACACACACACACACACGTGCCAGAGGGTATATGCACCTCACCAGAGAGTGAAGGAAAGTGAGAAAGCATCCCCATAAGAAATGGTCATGCCACAATCTCTTCTCCTCCATCTTTGCCTCCTTTTTGGATTTTGGGCATGCACACACATGCATCCAGTGTGTTTTTCACCAGGTCCAGGACTTGAACCATGCAGTCAGCCATGTGGGATCCAGCTGGCTTAACCACCATGCTACTGACTGACCCCAGACCTGAAATTTTAATATTAAAGTTAGAAATTTTCTTGACAAATGTTATGGGATCTCCTGGCAGAATTCTCTTTTTCTCTCTTGTGTTCTTGCTCTAAAGATTGTAGTTTTTCATGTTTATTTTTATTTCTGTTTTCAAATTGCCAGGCAGTGTGTGTGGTCTTGGTCTTGCCAGAGAAAGACCAAGAAAGGGAGGGAGAAAGCACTTCCCCATGTGCGTGGTCACGGTACAGTTCCTCTCCGTCTTTCCATCCTGTCAGGATCGGGGGCACGCATGCACGTGCACCTGTCATGTTTTCCCAGCTGCCAGGCCAGTACTCAAACGTGGTAAGGCCTGTGAGATCCAGCTCTCTTAATCACTAGACGATGAGACCAGCTTATCTCTAAAGATTTTCAAAATTGCCACATTATTTGATAGTTTTTCTCAAACCTTTTATTAAAGGGCCACCAAGTGGCATGGAGGTTAAGATAGCTGGATCCCACAGGGCTGACTGCACAGATTGAGTCCCGGTCTCGGTGGCTTGAAAAACACGCCATGCAAAAGAAAAAGGAAAACATGCCATCCCTGTGTGCGTACATGCCCAAAATCTCAAGAGGAGGATGGAGAAGAAGGAATGTGGTGTGGCCCACTCTCCGGGCAGTGGTTTCTCACTTTCTGTCTCTCTCCTCTTTTTTTTCCCTCCCTGGTGAATGCACACACCGTATAGAAAAATCAATTAAATTAAAAGGAAAACCTTTTATTAAAGAATACTATCTATGAATTCAGAGAATCCAGAATTTAACTTCTTTTTTAAATTTTTTTGAGACATTTTGGCTATAGGGCGCGTGCAGTCACTGGAGAGACAGAGACAGAAAGTGAAAAATCACACACAAACACACACACCCTGGGGAGATGGTCATGTCATAATCCCTACTCCCCCATTCTCTCAGGATTTTGGGCACACAGACACACACGCCCCCCATGAGTTTAAGCCACTGGATCCACGACTCGAACCTCAATCAATCACGTGAGAGTCCAGCAACATAACCATTATGCCATCTGCCGGTCCCCAGAATTTATTTTTTTGCTGTGCCTTTGCCTTCTCCGTACATTCCTCCAGAGTTGGCTTTTTTTTTTGGTAAATAGCTATCATGGTTTATGGTTTTTTGTTTGTTTGCTATTGTGAGTGTTTTTATTGTTTGTTTGTTTTAATTTGCCAAAGGACATGTGTGCTCACCTTAAAGAGACGGGGCTAGGGGGGAGAAAGCACCCATGACAGTGCATAGTCATGCTGCAATCCCTTCTCCTCCATTTCTCCCTCCTGTCAGCACTTGGAGCATACACGCACATGTTGCAGTGTGTATTTCAAGCTGCCGCATCCAGGACTCGAACTGTACAGTTGCCATGTGGGATCCAGTCACCCTTAATGCCACTAGCTGGCCCCTCTATTAGTTTTACCCAAAGATATTTCCAGCCAAGGTTCATGTCTTCCTGCTCATAATATTGGCATGCTTGCTTGCTTTTTATTTTTTACCATGGCATCTTCCTCTTGATTTTTCTGGGATGCTTCAGCTGCAGAGGATGTCATATATGTTCTGGTTCTTCTTTTTGTTTTTGGAGAAGTTTTTGCGATAGGGTGCGTGCACTTGCCTGAAAGACAGAGACAGAGAGACAGAAAGTGAGAAATCACCCCCCAGGGGAGATGGCCACACCGCAATCCTTTCTCCTCCATTCTCGTCTTGGGATCTTGGGCATGCACACACATGCGCCTGGCGTGAGTTTAAGCCACCAGGTCCGGGACTCGAACCGCGGTCAACTACATGGGAGTCCAGCGACATAGCCATTACGCTGGTCCAAACTGCTGGTCCCATTTGTGTTCTGGTTTTTATATGCTAATGGATGTGTGTGCTCACAAGAGAAAGAGAATGGCAGAGAGAGAAAGCAGCCCCCAGTGGGACATGTTCACACCTCAATCCCGTCTCCATTGCTCCATCCTGACAGGATTTGGGGCACACACGCACACGCGCATGGCCTATTTTTCAGGCCACCAGGGCAGGGATTTGAACAGTGTGGTCAGTCTCGTGGGATCCAGTTCACTTAACCACCAGGTCTCAGGGCCAGCCCCCTCGTATGTATTTCTGAAATTTACTTCTTATTTGTATTCCACTTGAATTCACTTCCAGTTTCCTTGGGCCCTCCCCACAGGTGACAGTGCCTTCTTTCTCCGCACATGGCTCATGACCCCGCTTCACATCCCCGAGACTCCAGCCGAATATCGCTACAACATGGCCCACTCTGCGACCCACAGTGTGATCGAGAAGACGCTCCGCACCCTCTGTGCCCGCTTCCGCTGCCTGGATGGGTCCAAGGGGGCGCTGCAGTACTCACCTGAGAAGTCCAGTCACATTGTCTTGGCTTGTTGTGTCCTCCATAACATATCTCTGGAGCATGGGATGGACGTGTGGTCCTCTCCGGCGACAGGACCCGTGGAACAGCCCCCCGAGGAAGAGTACGAGCACCTGGAGTCCCTGGACTTAGAGGCTGACCGTGTCCGTCAGGAGCTGATGCTCACTCACTTTAGCTAGCGTGGAAGGTGGGGAGGAGGAGAACTTCCCAGCAGGCATTGTGAAACTCCCGCTCTCTGCCTGTACACAGTTCCATCACAGAGCATGGCTGAGCAAGCAGACACTTGTCCTCACTTGACATTTAATCTGTGTGTTTCAGGATGGGGCTTTGCCAGAGCATCTTGAAGAATGTATTGAACCAAAACCAAGATGACGTTCCTTACCAACAGTGCGCGCCTCTGGCTGGGCACACTCACTTGAAATTGACTGGTTGCAAACTTTCATGATCGTGCCTACAAATCCTGAGCCCAAAACAAGTTTTCAGTTTCGTTTATCTGGAGGTTTCACATGAGAACAATGTTTGGGGCCAGCTGGTAGTGCTTGGGGTGGCCGGATCCCACAGGGCCGACTGCGCAGTTCAAGTCCTAGACCTGGTAGCTTGAGAAACACAGTGGGTACATGTACGTGCCCAAAATCCTGAGGGGGGATAGAAGAGAAGGGACTACAGCCTAGCCGCCCCCTGGGGGTAATTTATCATATTCCCTCTCTCTGGCAAGCACATATATCCTATAGCAAAAAATTAAATAAAATTATCCTGAGTTATTGGGGTCGTATTTTAGTTTTCGACTCCGCTGCCTGTAATATAGGCATCGTTGAAAGCACAGGTGAAGAGTGGATTTAAGTGAGGAAGTGGTCATCTGACATAGTAAGTGACGAAGGAGTGGAGTTTGTAGCTTTCTGAGGTAGTTTTGCGATAAGGCATATGTACTTGCAGGAGAGAGACAGAGAGGTGGGAAAGTGAGAAATCACCATTGATTTCTCTATTCTCTTCTCAGGATTTTAGAGGTATACACACACACACATCAGCATGATTTTCAAGCTACCAGTTCTGGGTCTCAAAAACTATGGTTGGCAGTGTGAGAGTCCAGCACCTTAACAACCATGCCACCTACTGGCCTGGTAGCTTTCTGTTTGTTTGTTTGTTTAAGGTTTTTTTCATAGGGGCATATCCACTCACTGGAGAGAGAGACACAGAGAGACGGAAATTGAGAAATCACCCCCAAGAGGAAATAGCCACGCCACAATCCCTTCTCTATTCTCCTCTTGGGATTTTGGACATACACATACATGCACCCAACATTATTTTCTAGCTGCTGGGTCCAGGACTTGAGTTGTGGTCAACCATGTGGGAGTCCAGTGCCTTAACCACCACACCACCTGCTGGCCCCACAGCTTTCCATTTTGTTTTGTTTTTTAAGAGAGATTTTTGTTATAGGGTGTGTGCCCTTGCTGGAGAGACAGAGACAGAAAGCAAGAAGTCATCCCCAGAGTGGGTAGGCCATGCCACAATCCCTTCTCCATTCTCTTGGGATTTGGGGCACATATGCACACACGCCTGGCATGAGTTTCAAGCTCCTGGGTCCAGGACTTGAACCACAGTTGACTACATGGGAGTCCAGCAACATAACCATTATGCCATCTGCTAGTCTCAGCTTTCTGTTTTTAAGAGGTTTTTAAGGCCAGCCTGGAACTCCCATGTTTCACCTGTCTGAAATAATTGGATTCTGATTTGGACCTAGTTCCTAGGGAGAAGATCAGGACCCCAGTCTTCTATTTCCAACCCTGAGTCAGAGGTAGAGTCTAAATGGGTCTAAGAACCCAATCGGCTTAAAGACGGCAATTTGAAAATAGATAAAATCACGTCTTCCTTTTACAGGGCTCTGAAGACCCTGATGGGTTGATGGATAGAGGATTTACCCGGTTTAGACAGCTCACGTCTAACAGATTGCATTTCTTGTCACTGTGATGTCAGTTTTGTCATTCTGTGTTTGTTTGTTTTAATTTGGCCAGAATGTCTGTCTCACCAAGAACACAGAGAAAATGAGCAAGTACTCAGCCATGCAGAAGAGGCACACTGCAGTCCTTCCTCCTCCATTTCTCCCTCCTCTCAGGACTTCAGGCACACACGCACTCAGCAGAGTCTGGAACTTGCACTGCGCTGTCAGTCATGTGGGCTCCAGCTGCCTTAACACCCATGCCCCAGGCTGGCCCATTCTGTTTTGAGCTTCCATTTGCGTGGGCCAGCAGGTGGCATGGTGGTTAAGGTGCTGGACTCTCACATAGCCAATCGTGGTTTGAGTCTGGACCTCATGGCTCGCTCTCTTGCGTGCACTCTCTCTATCTCTCTGGTGTGCACATGTTCCCTGTAGCAAATTTTTAAAATAATAAAGGGCCAGCAAGTGGTATGGTGGTTAAGGGTGCTGGACTCCAACATGGCTCACTGTCGTTCAAGTCCCAGACCTGGCTTCTTTCTCACCCCCCACCCTCACCTCACATCTCTCACTGTTCCTCTCCGGTCAAATTAAAATAAAGTTGAGACTGGCAGATTGTGTAATGGCTATGTCGCTGGACCCAGTGACTTAAACTCACACCAGGCGCATGTGAGTGCATGCCCAAGATCCTGAGAGGAGAATGGAGGAGAAAAGATTGTGGCGTAGCCATCTCCCAGGGGGTGATTTTTTGCTTTCTATTTGTCAAGCACACACACCCTATAGCAAAAGTCTCTCTTAAAAAATAAAAAATCTTGGGACCAGCAGTTAGTGTAATGGCTATGTCGCGGAACTCCCATGTAGTCGACTGTGGTTTGAGTCCCGGACCCGGTGGCTTAAACTCACGCCGAGCGCGTGTGCGTGCGTGCCCAAGATCCTGAGAGGAGAATGGAGGAGAAGGGATTGCGGCATGGCCATCCCCCCTAGGGGGCAATTTCTTGCTTTCTGTCTCTCTGTCTCTGTCTATCTGGCGAGCACACGTGCCCTATAGCAAAAACCTCTAAAAAAAAAAAAAGAGAAATCTTGGGACCGAGTTAGCGTAATGGCTATGTCGCGGGACTCCCACGTAGTCGACTGCGGTTCGCGTCCCAGACCCGGTGGCTTAAACTCACGCTGGGCACGTGTGCATGCGTGCCCAAGATCCCGAGAGGAGAAAGGAGGAGAAGGGATTGCGGTGTGGCCATCCCCCCTGGGGGGTGATTTCTCGCTTTCTGTCTCTTTGTCTCTCTCTGTCTGTCTGGCGAGCGCACGTGCCCTATAGCAAAAACCTCTGCCAAAAAAAAAAATCTTAAAAAAATTTCTTCTACAGAAGGAAGGTTTGGAGAACAATGGCATGTAAACGTATTAAAAAGGAGAGTAAAAGGGATATAATGTGGTTTGAAGTGAATTCTGGAGTTAGACTTTGGCTATCTTGTATGCAGAGTATTGAACAGAATTTTCCAGGAAATAAATAATCCCCCAGCAAGTCTTATTCTAAAATTACACAGAGATAAAAATAACCGGATTGGAATAATGAAAGTGTGAATTCGGTTCACACATTAACACCTTTACTGGGACAAAAAAGAGACTTTCCTGCAGATTGCCTTGTTCCCGGTCTCTCAGCCACTCACCGTGTGATACCTCCGAAAGGTCCTGTTGGATCATTTCCTACCTGCCTTTGGCGGTGTTAATCGGGTGATTTTCAGAGTAAAGAAATGAACAGCTGATGACAGAAGAAACTGAGGGTGACTCATCCTTAATATTAAAAACAATTATGAGGTTATTACCTGCTGTTTATTTCCACTCCAAATGCTATTTTCCATCATTGTCCAATCTATAAAGAAGGTGTCCAGGGGCCGTCAGGTGGCATGGTGGTTGAGGATGCTGGATGCCCACATGGCTGGCTGTAGTTCGAGTCCCCAACCTGGCAGTTTGCTTTCTCACTTTCCTCCTCTCTCCTCACGCTGTCCCTCTATGGTCAAATTAAAAAATAAATAAATAAATGGATGGATTAAAAAAGTTAAATAAAATAATTCTTAAAAAAAAAAAAAGAGTCCGGTGCGGGG